AAGAAGAAGAAGGGGACGGCAGAGAAGGAGGTGGCTGGATGGAGTCACCGAACCAGTCGGCCTGAGCTTCAATGGACTCCAGAGGATGGGAGAGGACAGGAAGGCCTGGAGGAACATTGTCCAGGGGGTTGCGATGGGTCGGACACGACTTTGCCACTAGCAACTAACAACAACAATATAAACAAGCTTCAGAATACAGGGAGTCCTTGAGTTACGACCACAATTCAGCCCAATATTTATGTTGCTAAGCGAGACATGGGTTAAGTGAGTTTTGCCCTGTTTTATGACCTTTCTTGCCGAAAGCTGTTAAGTGAATCACTGCAGTTGATTAGTAACCTGGTTGTTAAGTGAACCTGGCTTCCCCTTTTGACTCTGCATGTCAGGACGTCGCAAAAGCGGATCGCGTGACCCACTGGGAGGCTGCAACCGTTGTAAGCATGTTGTAAATCGAGGACCACCAGTAGGCTAAACCAAGTACAGGTAGCCTTGACTTACAATCAGTTGGTTTGGGACCATTCAAAGTGACAATTGCACTGAAAAAAAAGTGAACTTGGGATCATCATTCACACTTACGACCGTTTCAGCATCCCCAAATTTTAAATTCAAAATACGACAACTGACTCATATTTATGATGGGGTTACCTGATCCTTTTTTTGTGACCTTCTGACCATCAAAATCAATGGGAATGCCAGATTCACTTAACCACCGTGTGACTAACGTCACAACGGCAGTGATTCGCTTAACAACGGCGGCAAGGAAGGTTGGGAAATGGGGCAAAATTCACTTAACGACTGTCTTACTTAGGCACAGAAGCGTTGGCCTCAATTGCGGGCATACGCTGAGGTCTGTCTGTCTGCACAATGCTGGAAAGACTAACTGCGAGGGGGAGGGTTGGACTAGATGACCTACAAGGTCCCTTCCAACTCTTGTTAATCTGTCTCTGATTCCCACAATGGAAGATCAAGGCCAGGGAGGTGGCAGAGATGGCAAAATTGTCATTAATTAAAAGAAATAATCTTGTGGTGTTTTTTTTTCCTACTTGGAAACGGTTGCTGGAATTTGTCCTTGAGACTGAAAAAATAAATAATATAACTCTGATTTGAGGTTAGGATGACCGGACCGAGTGCGTTGTTATAGAAATGGTTTG